ACAGATAAATGGGTTTTATGTATACATTATGCCCCAATGAAATATGGGATCTCTGCAAAGTGTTTTATTTTCCTTATTTCATTTTATGATGATTTCATTTTGTGGGCGTTTGTGAGTATTTGAGGGCAGCGAGGTGTTTTATTGACTTCAGGGATTCTATTTCATTTTCAGGCACAAAAGGGGGTTTTATTACACTAGATTTATTTCCCCAGCTTTGGCTATTTCCTACTGCATATTATCCAAGATGCTGGTAGGCTGGTTTGTAATTATGCTCAAAATTGTGGGTTCATTAAAAAATCCACACACAAAAACCCACAAACCACATGTGAGCTTTATTTAGTACAGTTTCGGGTCATTAGATTTGAAACATTTTATCAGTCTATATTACCCGATGCTTCTAGATGATTTAGAGGCACTCATCAGTTTACTTCACTTAGTTTCCTTAACTGAAATGTTTTGTCTCATTTCATTTTATGTTGAATGGCTCTCTCTCTCCCCCGCCCCTCCGCTCCCATTTTAGTCTGTATTTTAGGTTAACAAATATAACTCAAGGAAATCCTGTGACAGTGATTTTGAACTCTTGTTCAAAAATCATATTGGCAGAAACTATTTTCACCGAAGAATAATTGTAACAGTCGACAGGATCCAGTCCTTCATATATTCATTGGGTGGGGTTCAATCCTATATGCAAACCGAGGAGTAAGCCCCACTAAACTCTATGTGACTTACTTCTGAGTATGAATATGGATGGCAGCACTTCTGAGTTCATTAGTCCTAGTGAAGGAAAAGGTCAGTGAATATTTGTGTGGGATCCTGACACAATGCTTCCCTTTTTCTGATGTCAGTCTCCTCTAGTGTTTCCCTTGTGCTTGGTCCTGAAACTGAAGTGCAGAATGCTACAGCACGGTTGCCGGAGGAATGAGACCTTGTCAGCATATAACTCAGAGATCTGTAGTGGGTGCCGGTTGTTGGGTTTTGTTTTTTTTACCAACTTGGGACCAGTCTACCTTGAAGGATTGCTTTCCCCTACATCTGCCCACTTGACCACTTCGATCCGCAGCACTGCCACTTTTGCAAGGGCAACATAATTATAATTCCACACTTGAAAGAACTAATCTTTCAGCGTGCCAGTTCCCGCACCTTGGAACTCCCTTCCCATGGAGATTAGGCAGGTGCCTCCTCTGTATTCCTCTTCTTCTTTTCTTCTTTTTGGCATGCTTTTCGGTTCAAGCAAGACTATCCATGTAAATTTGTGATATGTGACTGAATCCCACCAGAACAGTGGCATAGCATGGGTTGCCAGCTCCTGGGGCCATGCAGAGTGGATTGTGGGAGGGAGGGAAACGGAGTACGCCAGCATATTCAACTGCCTAATGGCATCTGCATCACCCACGGATTGCATCACCCACAGATTGCAGCCACAGAGATAAGGAAAGACAAGTCATTCCGTTGTCTGGAAAGGTTGCTTCCTGGTTTGCATGGAGAAGCCGTTTTCCATGGAGTCAAGTGATGGAAGTGTGCAGCTGTATGGAGGCAGCACTGGATGTTGAAATTTTGCACCGCTAACAATTTTGTGCCCAGGGCAACTGCCCCTGCAGCCCTCCTCACACTATGCCACTGCACCTGAAAGTAGAAACAGTCTGGACTGAACACAAAACCAGGCTGATATATCCCTGTGGCAGGCTCTGCCCTGACTAATGCTCACTTGTGGGTTTCCCACAGACATCTGGTTGCCCATTGTGAGAAAATGATGCTGAACTAGATGGACCTGCGGCCTGACTGAGCAGTGCTTTTCTCCTGTTCTTATGTTTAAAAGGAGCCTATGCTTGAACAAGGGACGCGGGTGGCGCTGTGGGTTAAACCACAGAGCCTAGGACTTGCCAATCAGAAGGTCAGCGGTTCGGATCCCCGCAACGGAGTAAGCTCCCGCTGCTCAGTCCCTACTCCTACCAACCTAGCAGTTCGAAAGCACGCCAGTGGAAGTAGATAAATAGGTACCGCTCCGGCGGGAAGGTAAATGGCGTTTCCGTGCGCTGCTCTGGTTCACCAGAAGCGGCTTAGTCATGCTGGCCACATGACCTGGAAGCTGCACACCGGCTCCCTCGGCCAATAAAGCGAGATGAGCGCCGCAACCGCAGAGTCGGCCACGACTGGACCTAACGGTCAGGGGTCCCTTTACCTTTATGCTTGAACAAGCACATGTGCACGCACACACACACACACACACACACACTTGAGTACTCTGCTTAAATGTCCTTGAAAGGGAGAAAAGACCTGCATTTAAAAAATAATAATCCTCAAACTGACTGTCCCCAGAATACATCTGTACGAGTGCTATGGGGGCAGACGCAGTAAATGTCAAAGGACTTTACATACTGTCAAAGATGTTAAGCATCATCAAATCACCTTTTTCACACCATGCCAATTCAATGATGTTTTTTCTATAGTGTTTGGCACGCCAAGGAAAAGAGTGCTATGGGCCTCTATTATGTTGAATGATTCACGTTTCTCCCCTTCACAACCACAGCAGCTGTGAAACTGCTGAAATGCCTTTCCCCTCTTTTCCAGACTTTGATGAATCTTAAACTAAAGGTGAGCGTTATTATTTAGGGCAAATTCTCATTTCCTCCCCCTCCACCCCAGAAATGATCTATAGTACTGTACTCATTATTCTTTTATGGTGCGTAGCTTTTTATTATTATTTAAAAAAGCTTGCCCAAGTTAGTTTAGGGGAAATGTCCACATTTCAGTGAAGCTTTTAAACTTACCTGATATAAATCAAGGAAAGAGGTTTCTTTTTGCTTTTTGGTCTGTCGCTCTGACTATTAAAAGAAGCCTGTCACCCTTTATCAGAGAAAGCACATGATGCGTGCATTCAACTTTTAGCCGAGAATGGGAGTGCAACTTGAAAAGAAACAAATACAATAAGGAAAGGCTAGCAAAAGTTGGAATGGTTCTGGGAGGGGGGGGGGAATGTGTGCAAGAAGATTGCAGTATACCCCCTTACATTTCTGACAGTAAGAGCTGTTCGACAGTGGAAAGGTCTCCCTTGGGAGGTTGTGGACTCTCCTTCCTCAGAGGTTTTTCAGCAGAGGTTGGATGACCATCTGTCATGGCTGCTTTAGCTGAGATTCCTGCATTGCAGGGTTTTGGACTAGATGACCATTGAAGTCCCTTCCAACTCTACAACTCTATGATTCCATGATTCTATTTCTACTCACAAGTTCCACTGAATTCAATGAGATTGACTGCCAGGTAAGTGTGTTTTAGGGGACACAGGTGGCGCTGTGGGTTAAACCACAGAGCCTAGGACTTGCCGATCAGAAGGTAGGCGGTTCGAATCCCCGTGACGGGGTGAGCTCCTGTTGCTCGGTCCCTGCCAACCTAGCAGTTCGAAAGCACTTCAAAGTGCAAGTAGATAAATAGGTACCGTTCCGGCGGGAAGGTAAACAGCGTTTCCGTGCGCTGCTCTGGTTCGCCATGTTAGTCATGTTGGCCACATGACCCGGAAGCTGTATGCCGGCTCCCTCGGCCAATAAAGCGAGATGAGCGCCGCAACCCCAGAGTCAGCCATGACTGGACCTAATGGTCAGGGGTCCCTTTACCTTTAATGTAAGTGTGTTTACTGTTGCAGACAAAAAATTCAATCATGTACATGATATTTGCAGATAGCATTGAATGTGTACAGAGAAGAGTGATCAATATGATCAAGGGTCTGGAAACCAAGCCTTATGAGGAACAGTTGAAGGAGTTGGGTATGCTTAGCTTGGAAAGAGGAGACTGAGAGGAGATATAATAACCATCAACCAATATTGAAAGGGCTGTCACATGGAAGATAGAGCAAGCTTGTTTTCTGCTGTCTAGAGGGTAGGACCCAAACCAATGGATTCAAGTTACTAGAAAGGAGATTACGACTAAACATCAGGAAGAACTTTCTGACAGTAAGAACTCTTTGACAGACTCCCTCAGAAGGTGGTGGAATCTTCCTTGGAGGTTTTAAAGCAGAGGTTAGATGGCCATCTGTCATGGGTGCTTTAGCTGAGATTCCTGCACCACAGGGGTTGGACTACATGACCCTTGAGATCCCTTCCAACTCTACTATTCTATAAAAAAGTTTTGTGAAGTTATCCCTCTCAAAAGAAATCAATTAGCCCAAATTACCTTTCCGTTGTTGTTGTGGTGGTGGTGGTGGTGGTTGAATGATCAGTAAAACAGCACCATTTTGCAAAACATTATCTTGCTTGTTGTTTCTTATTGCTAGGAATTGCTTAGTGAGTTTTTCCACTTAGGCCAATAACCATACTTGGTGGAAACATTCTGGGGAAAAAAGTCTAATTCTGTGCTCTTCCAGTTCTTGGCTACAATGAGTCTTGCTACAGTTAGAATAAATGTTAGTAGTTCCTTATGAATCATAGATTTCCATTTCCCCTCAAACAGAATAATAAAGTCATTGGAATTCTATTTCACCGTGTCACTACTTCAGGTTGTATACAGTGTCAAATTGCATACAACTGGCAATACCTTTGCTATTCGTGAATAATAAAATCTCATTTCTTTGAGGCATACTAAGTTTTTTTTTAAAAAAAGCAAGCCAAAACTTCATTTTCGTGCCTCTGAAGGCTCTGTCATTGCTTCTTTAGCTCTGGAAGACAGCAGGTGGGATCTATGTGACCTTTTGGTCAGCTCTAGAGGTTTTCTGAGGGCTTCTTCTTGAAACAATGAACTCTTCAGGACACTATCACTTAGCCAGGTGAACATTGACTAAGACAGTTAAATTTAATATGTGAATGCAAGCTGTCAAGAGCAGAATAAGAAAAGGCCTACCAAATATTGTGCTGAACTCAATATTCCTGAACCTCTCCAAGAAAACATAAAAATGTAACGGCACTCATAATTGAGAATGGAAGATTAAAATAGACTGTTAATATAAATATAACTTTTTTTGCAAGCAAAATTAAAGTGGGAGGATTTCCTTGAAAATTTTCTCCAAATATTTATTTCAATGCCAGAAAAGAGGGAACAGGGCCAGCCATGCTCTTCAGCAAAGTGAGGCAGTCTCACATAACACATTTGGTAGTGTGTGTGTGTGTGTGTGTGTGAATGGCAGCAGTGATAAGCTTGAGGACATAGCTATGTATGCCATGTGACCTGCCCTGAACTGTAAGCTTCTCCTCAGATGCAAAGAGAAGACACTGTCCCATCAACAGTGTCCTAGGTTTTCACAGGCAGTTTGGTCAGCTTCTCTTCATGGAATAGAAGATGGCTTCTGTCTCGAGGCACCCAAATATCTTGAGAGGAAACAAGATGAGGAAAGGCATACATTTAGGGATTGACCAATGTCTAGTTTTCCAAATAATTTAAATACACAATTTCACTCTTCTCAGTGGGGAAAGTATCCCCTGCTTCTGTCTATGCCCCCAATAACATTTTTTGCCATTGTTCTCTCAGCTCCTCAGAAGCATAATTGGTTTCAATCCCTTCCCTTCTTGTCTCGCTCCCTCCATATTTTCACAGAAGTAGCAAACATCTGTGGAAATCAATGACCAGATGATGAGTCTGAAGTCAAAACCTAATATCTTTTGGAAGCAGTTTGAGCTATGAAATGGCAGGGAAGGAAGACACCGTTCTCTACCTCCCTAGTCAATTCTACCATGGCTTTTCTTCAAAGGAATCCATCCTGTATCTGAGCACTTCCTTTGATTATCTTCTCTCACCAGCTCCCCATCTTTAACTGATATAAGTCATATCCTCATATAGAACCAGCTTTAATTCTCCCCCAAACCTCTTTAACTCATAATTAATTATTATCTTGTTATGTGAGATCTTGGTGAGCTTCTGAGAGGCCATAGCGATTCTCTGTCTCATGAATCAGGACCCTGGAGAGCTCCCAATGGGCCATACTGACTGTGTTTGCAAAATGCTGTCTCCACAAAGGAGAAGAGTCACCTGAAGACTTAAAAAGGCTGGCAAGACTCCTGACAGTCTCGCCAGCCTTTCAAAGTCTTCAGATGACCAATGGTATCAAATAGTATGGGAAACAGCCTTATTAGAAAAACTAACCAATAAACTGAAACTGACATGGGGGAAAATAGAAGAAGACACCTTCACCCTGGTTTGGTTCCCCTTTATCACATACACAAGACATGGCAGAATCCGAGACCAGGGAGAAGAGTCTGTGGAAGAAGACTGGAAAAAGTTTAAAGACTATTTACAGAAATACTGTAAAATTAATGAATGTTAGAAAAATGTTGGAATGAAGTTATATGGCTTTAGTAGAAATGTTATAAGGAATTAAGTATAAACAGATTATTAGAGCATTAAAGGGAAAAATAAGGTTAGAACGTGTTAAGACAATTATAGGGTAGAAAACAGAGGAAGATGGAAAGGAATTGCTGAAACAATTAATAGAAGTGGAATACAAAAAGGGAGGTGTGAGGAGGTCATGGAAATTAGTGAAAGAAAGATAAAATATTGAAATTGGATTGTGTTTTAAATGGTTTTTGTTTTGTTTTGATTAGTTGTATGTTAGTGTTTTGCAGTTTTTTTTTGTATTGTATTGTATTATTGTATGTTTTTTTCTTTTTTGGTTTTTTGTAGTGTTGTGTTCAATTTGTTGGAAAACTAATAAATATTATTATATAAAAAAATATCACATACACAAGACAACAAGACAACAAGAAGAATCTGCCGATAGCATATGAATCAATCTGGCTAACCTGATTCAAAAATACACACTCACACCCTGCTCACACACAAAAACAATTCTCACTACAGACAACCAACCACACTCTAAGCCACCCCCAACCTCTCTCACCACAAGGAAATACAAGTGAGCAGTAAGAGAACCCATACATGTAACACTGACACAACCCCTCACACACACTAAGTAGAAAAATAGAAGCATAAACACCCGACCCACACCCCACTCCCCCCTCTTCCCCCCTTTGTTCTTCTTCTTCCTAATTGTTTAAACCAATTCATGAACCAAGAACTTATATATTGACCCCTAATAATGAAACATATGTTATAGATATTTTTCCACATTTATTATGCTATTTTTGTGATATGCAAATGACACGAGAAAACTTGGTATACTTATTTCTATAACAATATTCCTGTTTATAAAACCCAATTTTTAAAAAGGCTGTGAAAACCTTCCCTTTCAGTAGTGTTGGCCATATGGGAGAGCTGTCTGCAATCAGTAGATTCTGCTATTGCTATTACTACTATAGTGCTAATATAAATACTTTGAACACTTACTGGAGTAAGCAATGCAAGCTCTTAGCACATTCAGGAATCTTCACTGAAAGGTGAAGCAACAGCTGTCAGCTTAAGTCTATATTCATTTTTTAAAAAAATCCTTTTGGTCAATAAGTCAGAAGGAATAAAAAACAACACTTGGAGTTCATGTCAGCAGGGAGAGCTTAAAGGAAAGCCTTTAGCTTTAGAGGTGGCTGCTGTTTTCCCTCCTCTACCCTAAAAAGCTTGATAAGTTTGTGAAAATGCAGGAATAGGTGAGAAACAGTGAAAGTGGCAGATGAGAGGACTAGTACTAAGCTATTTTGAGCTAATGCCAAATTTGGGTGCCGATCACCCAAGTGGGGGAGTTAATTTCCAACCCCTTCCCCCACTTTTCATATTTTCTTTTCTAATTTCAGAAAGGTACAGGCAGATACACTGAAGTGAAATGGGTCCCCCCCCATCCCTCCTTGCTTTTGAAATGTCAACAATGGTAACTATAAAGACTGCATAGGTTGGTGATACACAGCACACACAACGAAACAGTTATGAGTCAGTGCAAAATTGCAAGGCAGGTTGGACTCAGGTCAGAATGACTTGGAGATTACTAAAGTGGGGAAGCTTATTTATTTCTATCTCCTCCCCATTTTCATTCCTTGCCTCAATTTATTCCCATTGCTTCTGAAATGCCAACACACACACTTCTGTCCATTGGTAAAACACACAAGAATCTTGATCCAGCTGTAATTATGATCACATCAGTTTTTGAAGTGCTTTATCAATGTACGCATTCATATCGGTGATGGAGAGCTTGGGGAAGGGAAGACAATAATGAACACAGGGAACTGAAATCTGTAGCAAACTGCATGCGTATCAGGAATGCAGAGGAGTGGGAAGACGATGATAGACTGAGGAATGAGAGCAGGAGCAAGGCATGTGCACACAACGCTCTGAACAGGATTCTGAAATCAATAAAAACAAAACAATGGAAATGGTGACTGCAGACCTTGGCAACTCACAACGCTCGCCTTGCATCCATATTGGAAACAAGGCCAGGTAATTTGGATGCCCCAAATGAGGGGAGAAAGAGAGATGTGAGGGATTTGGGAACCATCCTTGGTAAGAGTTCAAGCAGAGCCCTCTTCAGCAGATGAAGTGATCTTGTGAGGGGGCAGTAGGGGCAAGCAGAGTGCTGGGGCAGGCTTCCCACAGGCATATGGTTGGCCACTGTGAGAATAGGATGCTGCACTAAGATGGGTCATTGGCTGGTTCCAGCAAGCTCCTCTTGTATTCTTATGGATGGTGACTGTCAGAATTGGGGAACTTTCAGAACCAATGGAACAATCCGTGTGTTTTAGAGCCTTGAGTGTTTGTTGTTGTTTAGTCGTGTCCAACTCTTCATGACCCCATGGACCAGAGCACGCCAGGCACTCCTGTCTTCCACTGCCTCCCACAGGTTGGTCAAACTCATGCTGGTAGCTTTGAGAACACTGTCCAACCATCTCGTCCTCTGTCATCCCCTTCTCCTTGGGCCCTCTGAAATGGGTGATGTTGAATCATATCGCCAGAAGAAGGCTTATATTTCATTTTTTGCCTTTTCTGAAATTACATACAATGTGTTTTCCTTAAATCCATGTATTACGAAACAGCATTGCCGCAAGTTAAGTGGTCAAGTTAGGCAGCGGTATTTTTTAACATGCAGTTAGAAAGTTGTCGGGATGTGGACTGATATTCAACATTGACTGAAGAAGTTAAGTGAGGACAGAAATAGGTACTCGAAACTAATCAGTGTTCCACAGATAACTTCCCCAGTCAAAGATACTGTGCAGAACTTGATTTGACTGTCCTCTTAACTGAAATCCCATTGCAAACAAAGGAAATGTTCTGTCCTATTGATTTTTTAAAGCTACTAAATTCTCCCAGGGCGTTATCAGTATGTCCTCCTCTTCTGTTTTAAATATATTTTAATTTCCTAATACAAGCTAATCAGCAGGCTCAACATTAATCTTGCTAGGGAGGAAGTTTTTTGTTAATGCAATAATTGTAGCCCATCAGTTGACTTGGGTTATAAACAACTAGCTTTCATTCTAATGCCCAAATGGGTCAACAAGGAGAAAAGTGAATTGTATTTCATGTTGACATTTTGCTGTTTAAAGCTTGCCAGCCGCAGAGAATCAGCTACTGTGTGGACCTGGAGCACAGCTCACTGGACTGAAGTTATTAACACAGCAACCCTAAACTATGATTACTCAGAAGTAATTCCTATTGAATTCAATGGGCTTACTCTAATGAGAGGTGGGGTTAGATAGCAGCCTGACTTATCACAACACACTCTCACATCATATTCTGTACTTACGTAAAGGTGCTGAGCATAATCAGATAGTTGATTTCATGTAGGCCAGTATTGTCTGCTCTGACTGGCATATGCTCTCCAAGGCCTGATGAAGGGTTTCTCCCACCCTTGCTACTAGGGGTCCTTTAACTGGAAACTGAACCTGGGATCTTAGCACCCATAGTGATGACGTATAATGGGAGAAAAGGAGGGGTGGAGACTCACTCTGAGCAACACCATTATTCCGAGAGGCCACATTCCCAAGCCTCTCTCTGTGAATATTAAATAAAAATGGATGGTAAGATTTTTCTCTTGTCTTGTCCATTCCGGGCAACCTGCCATGTGGGTTGGTTTCTCTGCTGCCTCACACTGTGGCCCTTTGGGTGTTGCTGAATTTCAGACTCAGACAGCATGGTCAATGTTCAGGGATGATGAGAGTTGGAGTTCAACAGCATCTGGAAGTCCACTGGTTCTCCATCTCTCTTGTACGACATCCTTTGTGCACATCAGAGATTCTTCAAATGTCATAGTACACTTCAGACATAGGCTCTTTAGGTCGGAAGGCATCATGATAGACATTCACCTCCAGCTGGAGTCAAAGGTCCATTTTGATTCCCCCCCCCACTCCACCCCGGAAGGAAATACATATCTATACAGTGGTGCCTCGAGTTAAGTACTTAATTCGTTCCGGAGGTCCGTTCTTAACCTGAAACTGTT